TTGCGACGAATTCAGCGGAACCTCCTGCCAGCCTCAGCAATAATGATAAGAACGGGCGGCCTCGGGACAGATCTTAGAAAATTATGATGTCCAGAACACTGTAGGCACCGGGGCGGCGCATATATTGCTGACGACTTACAAAGTAATCATAACTGTGTGAGGGGTATAAATAGAAGTTCAGATCGATGAACTCGGCCTTCAATTGTGACGAACAATCGATTACTATCACAATCGTTCGTTCGTGCCTCCCCACTGCCCCGACCCTGTCGATCGCTTAGCTCCTCGTTGGATGTTTCGAACTCATTGTACTCATCGGAAGACTCGAAGATAATCATGATTCCTGATCGACGCTCCACTGGGGCATCGGTCCTCTGTAGACGAAGCCCTATTCGGGGAAGCCGAGTTCCGCGCAGCATCATGCTTGATGCTAGGGAGGCAATGTACTTGTGTCCGAAGCTACGGAGTGTCCGATCGCACCGGAAGCAGACCGAAAAATCACATGTCTCAGGGGAATTCTTCTGCTCTCGCTGGACCTCGAACGAGGAACAGGCTTCGCGTGGAATACAGCGATAGCGTCAGTGGTTAAAAAAGGTGCGCCGACGTGCTCTGATCTTTGATCAAATGAATCGACCGCCCGCCGCCAATCCAGACAAGGAATTCTCGATGGGTAGATCATATCCCCACCAGCAAAGTATCCGAAAAAGCCACCAATTCCGGTCGACACAATATTCTCGCGAGCTCGGCAGCACGCAGGCCGAATTCCTTCCATGAACATATCGGGCTCATTCTCTGTCGCGTCGGAGCGGGCGGACGATCGACTAGGTACATCACGGGACGAACGTCTAGAAGAGGATCGGTCTCGGTTCGGATGCTTGAAAGCAGCGGCCAATCGATACCGATACCGACGAGCCGAGCATCTGTTGACACTCAATCCCCTTTTCTATTTCCGCATATCCCTGAGGTGAATGTGTATGTGTTGAAGCGGACAGCGATCCGCGCTTGACCATCATCCGGCGGGCAAAGTAGCGCAGCGGCGATGAGTCGAAATGACCGTATCCATAAGAGACATTTATGTGCCCATTACTTGGCCAAGGTCATGCTCCTCGATGTGCAATATCGAGGCCGTCCTTCAATCGAAGACCGACGACTGCCTCGGAGTGCCATCTACCCGTTCCAGTACTATATACGTTCCTATATTTAGAGAACGCCGTAAGCGAACGGATTTGCCGAAGCGTCGACAGCGTCTCAAATGTATTTCGGTGTCCCCCAACGAATTTTCCGCCCTCCTCATTCAACACCTTCCGGAGGTCCCGAAAGTGATGGCTTGGGTGAATGCACAATCATTCTCCGTGAGCAGTCGAACGGAGGCCGCTCGATGCAATGACGGGATGCTCTGCGAGCATGAGCGAAGTGTGCGATGATTGGGGAAGTTTTCGACGGACATGAATCTCTTGCTGCGACTTATCGACTGATTACGCATGGTGGAATTCAATCCTGTCATTCACTGCTGTCTCCCGTTAAGGCCGTATTCAAGAAACGATGTATTGAGGCAGGTGGTTGCAGAAGGAAGGATCTGGGATACATACAACAGATTATATTGTATTTCTCGCTTGAAGGGACCCCATCGAGACCGGATCCGTCTGACCCACACAAGCGATAGGTCCGATAGACCAAACCAGAATCAGCTGGAAAACATGTTTTGGGGCTGCACGATGTGGTCCGAATATCCGGCTGTGCCAATGAATTGGCTGTACTGTATACAAATGTACCCTCTTGAGTCGATTGAAGCGCAATTTATCTCTCATGCCTTGACCACACCGAACGGCAACGTCTGAAGCTGTTCAATCTGCATCGTCAGATAGAATGAGTTTTGAACTTTTTCCAAGGCCATCCCTCGCTCTCCGTCATGGAAAGCCCCAGAAGTTCCTTGTGAAGAGAGAGCTGAGAGCGCGCGTGAGGAGCATTTCCTGCGGTCGCCAACTGTCGAGTCAGCTTAGGGCATCTACCAGATGATCTCTTTTCTTGAAAGCTGACAGCACCGCGTTTCTGAGATCCCTCATCATAGTCGCGAGGCAGACGGAAGTATTTGAACCTTATATTATCCTGCTGAATATTTCTGGTTTCGAAGGAATTCTCCGGCGTAACTCAAGACGAACGCACCCACGGCGATTCCCGGACGCTCGACTGGTAGAGGTCCTGGATAACCGACGATGGAGGTCTCCGATATCAGTCCTCGACAGACGGATCGCATCCGATAGCTGAGCGTCTCCGGCGTTCACATCTACGTGACTGTCACGTCAGATTCCGCGACCGTCAGTGGTTGATTCGTTATTTCAAGCTGGTTTCATCGGTGAGTATCAGTCTCTATTCCGGGAGCTGCAATGAGATCAAATTCTAAATCCTAGATGATTGAGCGGACAGCCATTGCCTGCGATCGATCGCGATCCTCACAGCTGTTGTAGGAATCGATATCAGAGGAATCCGGGCTTAGGAAGCGTGTACGAGCTCGACTAAGAACTCGAGCGAAGCCTCTTCGAAAAATCCCAAAAACTTTTGAGGGCTCCGGTCTCTGTTGCTGAAGCTTGGACGCGCCACCTATTCTTCCCCGACTCCCGCGGATTCTCCTAGCGTCTGATATATCCTGGGAACGCCGGCCTGGAGCCTAGTTTTTGCGAGATTTCGAACCACTCCACAATGTTTCTCTGTTCCATCCTCTTCTTGCGCGCACTCGCGCTTCGTGCGGAGATATTTATATCAACAGTAGCCAGATTCAGCAACGCATGCCCGGATACCGAATTTCTCGCGTTTGACAAACGACCAAAGGCACCTCTTCCCGGCCACGGGTTCGGTAATGAAAACAAGCGAGAAAAAGAGGAAGACGTCGACGATGAGCATCAAGATCACGGTACCGCGGCTGCGGCTACTACGGCCGGTCGTGATGAAGAGGAGAAAGGCAAGGCCATATAAGAGATTGGCTCAGATCGACTGGCTGATGATTTCCAAAAATAATGTTCGCTTCTACGAGTGCGCCTCTGCCGTAGCCGAATCTCTGAGTGAGACCGGCCGTCACTGCAGACGCGGAGACCGCCACTACAGCCTCTCAAAGTTGAGTAGCAAACCATTAGACTGTTTGTCTGATGGCCTGTTTGTCCTGAAACTGCACAGACCTGCTTGCAGGTGTATATCAAGTTTGTTCTGCCGATTCTCTGGTGGACAGCTTCTCTAAGCGAGCAAGCGAATGAGTGAGTGTATGTCTGTCTGGCGAAGAGTCGTCGTTGTTGCTCTAGCGAACTCCAGAAGCATTCACATTCAGTCTCGACGCAAAAACTCGAGAAAGTCCCGTGAAACGTTTGGCGAACAATGCGAGCTATGCGCTGGCTGCTCTTGATCGTTTCTGAGATTGATGATTATGAGTTTAGACGCAGCTTGCGAATCGTTCGTCAAACCCAGAGACGCACCGATGTTCCTGCTTGGAGGGATGCCACAGAGTACCTTTTGCATACTCCCGGCCTAAATCCGGGATTTCGCGAATCGTTAGACGAGATATGTTCATCGAAAAAATACCGATTAGCTTTTGAAGAATGAGCGCGAAGCTCCCAAAGTTCATAGCACAAGAATCGGCACTCGGAATTCCCGCATAGATAAAGTTTCCAAAAGAGATTGTGGAAGTCGCTGGGGAATTTCCTGGCAACAAGATTCGTCCATCTAGATTCATCGAGTCAGATCGAGCTACGGACCTCCACGTTCCATTCGAAAATTGCCAGCGTCCGAGCAGACCGATGGGTCTCAACACGAACTATCTGAATTAGTTGCGTTTCAGGCTCACCATCTACCCGTTCCGGGAGCTTGACAAGGATTAGAGCGGCTCGGCTCCCGTATATCGCACGACATCGGAGAGTGGAAGTATTGAAGATTCCATGCGCTATGTGCTCTTTTCAGGATGCCACACTCGTAACTCATCGACGGAGCAGAGCTGTACGGACCCGGGCACTGACCCTGATCCGCGTATACTGAACTCGGTGTAGTTCAGAGAACCATGCGCGGTGGTGGGGGGGGGCTTGGAGCTGGCCGGGGTGTGCGCGCAATGTATCGTGAGGAGCCTTGCCTCATTCATAGCCTGATATTTTCCCGCTGCCGCCGGCAGGCGATGCGAACGCGTGGTTGTGCTCCGAAGGATCTTCCCGAAGGTGGTCTCCAGGAAGTTCCTGAACTACCTAGTCCATAGCTCGCGATGGAGCCGAAGTCCGCAAAGCAGGACCCTGACGGGCTCCCGGCCTCAGAAGTCATGAGACAGAGAGGAATCTCCGGAGGCTCCAAGGAAACGCAAATAGAAATGCCTAGGGCTGGGAATCCGGTGTGGCGCCAGAAGCCGTGAATTCTCACGATGTTTCTAGGCGATCCTCCACAGGAAGTTGATGGGGGCCGGAGAATGCTCCGAATTCGGGTCCCTAGAAATATTCCCAGCCTCGACTATGGTGGCAGCGGTAGCCTATGGGCAACACTATGTGGATCCCTGCGACAGAGCGACGATCTTTCGCCAGACAGGCACTCGCGCGCATTTCTCGCGCTCTCAGTGCGCGGGTTCGCATTGGAGCAATACGATAGAGCTCCGAAAAAGACGCGATCCGCTCGGCTATCGCATTCGAGTGATGGAGGGAATGGTTTGTGGGGCCTGCGACTTGCGGCGCGTAGTCATGTAGCTCGGTGGAACAGCTCGATGCCGGAGACGAGCGCACGACAGACCCGCGACGTGCCAATTCTCTTAGCCCGAGGGTCTTCTTTTCCCACCGAATCCCAGATGAATCCATCGAAACATCCCTCACTCATCCATTCTCCTGAGACGAGCGTCTCAATGAAGCACCGGAAAACTGTTGATACCCCGTCGAAAACTCTGCAGGGAGCACCCTCCACGATTGCGGGCCGTCGGGAGAGGTATTGGAAGCTCATTGTGTGTTGCGAAATGGGCATGAACATGCAAGATTGGCATTATTAACAAAACTCTCCTCCATTGTTTTATTGACTTTCGCGATTGCAGAAAGAAGCAATTCTCTCTGAATCAATGTAGAAAATTTTCCTGTAGGGCGTCGACCTGAAGCAAACTTTCCAGGGTCAGAGGAGTTCAGGATTCAGGACGATTCCGGGAGACATAGGGTATTCTTCCCTCGAACTCTATCACAATCATCGATAGGATTTGAGCTCCCGACAAAATTACGCTACCTATCGCTGTCTGCGAACCAGTCGCAAACGTTCGCTAGGCGATCAAGTGATATACAGGAGATTTTCTATGTAAAGTGAATTTGTACAGTTTGGATCCGAAGAGTTGCTCGTGGAAACCAGTCAAGAAGGTATCTGTCGGGATTTGGAGGTTCTTCTTCCGCAGGTAGTTGTGCATCCCCGCGCAGCTGGTGTACACATTCATGTGAGCGGTTTCCTCGCTCACGAAACTTGTTTCCTCGGCGCGGGTCACCCCAGAATGAGCCAATGATGCAAGATTGGTGAGGTTGCCCGCTGGAACGAACGTCACTCTATGCTGTTTCGTATTTTTGTTGAACTTTGTCTTCCGCAAAGTCGAGAATGGATACTTGAGCGCCGAGGCGATGACGTCGTCCGGGTATTCGTCGCAAAACGTTCGTTCATGCACAGCCAGCACCTGGTCGTCGTGAATCACGGTCGCGAGGAATGCTGTCATGTTGGCCATCTTCCGACGGAGGACGAAGAATTCGTTGATGCTGAGCATGGCCACGTACTTTGAATCGAGTCCTGCTCTCAGCAAACAATCTGCTTTAAGGATCGGTTCCGAAAGCGAGCCGATCGACACGGGTGCATTCCATTGAAGTAGGTGCGTTATCAGATCTGGTTGAATGTAAGGTGCGCGTCTCACGAAGGTTTTCGCTTGAGGGGACAGATTTGCGTCGTACACGTAGAAACGATCCACGCCGATGTGACTGTGATAGGCGAGGAACTCCGCGAGTTTAACTTCTGTGGTATTGAACGTGAGAGGATGCACACAAATGCCGACATGGTGCGGATCGTGCACGAGCTGCTCCTCGATGGGTACGATTGAGCCGAATATCTCAACGGCCTGAGGCCTCGTGGAATTGTTCGGATTGATGCATCCGACCGCGAGAGCAGAAAAACTACTCGAACTCGCGAGGACTTCGACCGAAGCTTCGACGGTCTGCGACGTGTCTGGGTCGAGCCATAACCGACACGTTTTCGGTCTTACATCCGAAACCAATAAAATTGTGACTAATTGGCTCGCGGGAGCATAGAATGATGAATACAAAAAAGTGGACATCCCAATCTGATCCCAGCTAGGATCGACTTTGTGGATCGTGTCCAGGTATTCGCCTTCGAGCGTGGCTCGCAGGGATTCTAGCTGACGGACGCACTTGGCGTTAGACTCAGAGGTTTGGAATATATCCGTGACCTCGAGGAACACCTTCATGTTGGAATACTGTCGCTCCATGATCAAGAGCCCCATCACCGACACCACACAAACGACCACCAGTCCGAGTTGCGTGTACTTCCTCATTGTGCCGGCCTGATCCTATGGCCGTCATCGACAACCTGGAAAATATAGATTCGTCTGAGAGGATGATGGAAGTGGTCGCTGTTGGCCTATGGTATGCCCGCGGGGATCCCCTCAATTATAGGACCGGTTGACACGTTCCTCTACCGAGCACCGAGGTTGGCCGAATCCATGATTCACGTTGTGACACTTAATGGATAGAGATCCCCTCTGAATATTCGCTCGAGCAGAGAAGCCTCCCTCCAGTTGCGACCGCTTTGTGGTGTAATATCCATGAGCAGGCGGTATACATGGGAGCTCAACACTCTGAAGAAACTTACAACTTACTCGTGATGCTTTTGGGAGAATTCGACATCGACAAGTCACTCTGACGTCGATGTATCCCGTCAGATCTCGGGCATCACCGAATACTCGAGTGCTCCATTGGGATATGTCACGTAACACTCGCTCCTAGAACTACGTTAGAGGAGTCGACAACATGATTAGAGTGTTTACATCAGCGACAATCGGTCTTGTTTCCTCTCCGGCGTCAGCTGCTGCACCCGGAACAGCGGCGGATCTCGCCTCCCATGGACTGTCTGTCTCTGTGGGGCTCCCAGATCGACTGCTCTCGAAGCGACCTAACAGCTTTAAGCTCTGTTTCCTTCGAACTGCGCGAGCCAGACGTCACCTGAGGACTTCATTTGTCGAATGAATGCGGTCGGAGGGGGCTGTATCCTGACATAACGAAGTCAGAGGCCGCGGAGTGGAGGGACGCCCGCGCCGTCTAAATGCTGGGTTCCAGGAGCAGCTCGGCGCCTTATTCAAATTCGGAGACCCATCCCAAAGTACGAGCCTCCGACCTCACGAAGCGTTCCGTGAAGATCGCAGTGATCATCAGCATCGAGTCCCGATGTTGTCCCCACCCCCTGGGGATCGGCTCTCCGAGGCCTAGGCTGCCCAAATCCCAGTATGATTTTGGTCCACTGACAATGAGTGAGTGCGGTTTATGGTCCGAGAGTAGGAAATTCGATATCGAATGGTCGCCCCTCCCCGTAATGGTTCTGATTTAGTCAAGATCGAATCTGATCTTGAGGCGGCGCCGGAAGCGCGACTACCTCGCCAGCTCCCGCCTCTTCTGTCATTGAGGGAAGGACATTCGGGAGCGAAATTATGCTCGTCCACATAAACCACCGGAAGGAGGACCGGGGCAGGGAACGAAGCGGTCAATTTCTTCGCATCGTTGTCAATCGGACGGACGCAAGTACGGCAGGCGCGCAGATTGTCAGTTCGACTGAAAGAACGAGAGATGTTCCAAGCAGAAGCTACTATGGGGGCGCAATTTTCCTTCGTTCGTCAATGACATCTCGGAGACGTCTGAGGCTCCAATCACTCCGATGGCATCAGCAATAAATTTTTTCTGATCGAATTAGTGTCCCGGCAACTGTAGAGAACGGCGGCTCATGCGCTACCCAGGTACCGCCTCCACGGAGGCTCATCGCCCATCGAAGACGGGGTGCCGAGAACACACATCAAGTTGGTCTTGAGTTGGTTCTCCTCCCATATCGCCTGTCGGCTGCTCACTGAAGCCCGGGAAAATTCGAAGCGGTTTCTTCGTGCTCACTAAATACAGCTCCTGAGCCGCTGTCTAAGGACCAAGCACCACCTGCCTCTTGGAAAAGAGCGTCGATAAGAAGGGTCCGCGTTCACCCCATTCTCAAGGCGATCGCACATTCGACCAGGTCCCGCGGAGAAGCAGCCTGGCGCTGGGGCGGTCTTCCGAGCAGTTGTCGTGTTGAGCGGAGGGAACAAACAACAGAACGTCGCGAGTCGCGAATGACGATTTGAGGGTCTGCGAAGATACCGGAATAGAGTCAATGGAAGTTTCAAAGTCGGCACGACGCCGACTTTGGTTCGACCGCATACACAAAGTGACATCGAGGACCTTGGCGTTCACCGCAGCCCTCACGTCAGCTCTCGTTGTCGTCGAAGTCGTCGGGAGGACCGTGAACCGCAAAGCGGATTCCTCCGAACGTGAGTTTCGCGCGGTGGCTTATCAAATTCCGATAATCGCAAAGGAGAGCATTCTTTATTTTCCGAACTTGCGTGAAACGGAGTTCCCGTCTGGTCCCCGTCTGGTCCCCGATTTCTCAAGCTTCTGTTTTGAGACTTCGAGATTCCTCCGTCGCTTATCGAATGTGTCCTTCAGGTACCGGGTCAGGACCGTCCGTTGGTCCAGCCGACTCCGCGTAGTCCGTGCTCCCGCCTGGCCTCCACGGTGTCGATCTCCGGAGGGAAACTGCAATATCGACATCGTGAGCCCTCGAAAATGATCACGGTCATTCAGCTGTCAGTAAGTTGAGAACATCTCGGAGTGGCGCTTCCGGCATTGAGGTGCGGGGTCCAATCCCGATGCGTCAGACATCTGGGGTCTCCGATGTGACTGATACGGTTGTCGCGGTCGCGAGTCGTCCGAGAAATGGAAAGAAGATGATTCTCTTTTCAAGGTGGGCTCCGTGGATACATGCCCAGGTCATGGAGTCAGTTAAGAGCTTGGCTCGTCGAGGGATACGGAGGTGGAGCTGCTAAAACGATAGTATGTAGACCAGTCTTCCAACAGCGATAACCTCGAGCAGAAGGACCTTGAAGGTAGTTATAGGTATACATATGGACAGATATACATACATCTATATGCCTACCCGAGCTGTAATCGAATGAGCTGCTGTGCACGGCTGACGTCCGACCTTCTTTCGAGCGCGAACTTGGCGATTGATGAATGCTCTGATCGATGGAGGCGCATTATTCCAGGAGGCTGAAGCATCATCCGGAGGGAAGAGAGGACGCGGAAAACCGGAGTTCTCCCCACGTCCGAGCGACTGCGATGGCGTCTTAGGCGATTTGAAAGGAGCACGGCCTGAAGGATCAGGAACTTCCCGCGCTCCAGAAATATATGAGAAACTCGCGGTCTGAATTCGGACTGATCGTCAGAATGCTGGTAGAATAAATGAAAGCGCTCTCACACTTACATATTTGAATGTGCAAGTTCAATCTCCCGGCTCCTTCATTGGTGGCAGATTTTCTGTACCGATACTTCTACGCGTGTGTTCTTCGCTTCCTTATTCAACGTCCTGCGACGGTATCCCGCGGAGCACTCATGTTAGCAAGCGTCATTCGGAGTGCTCAGAAGTGCAGAAAAACGCCCAATGCTAGTCCAAAACCGGGTCTTCTGAGGTCTTCAGGGCGGATGATTATTATCGAAGCCGAGCGTCTGGAGTCGATAGCAATCGATTGAATCTATGTATGTCATTTATAATTTGCAAGCGGTTATGATCATTTAGTAGTCTCCCCGGTTCCTGCGCTGGCGAATCTTCCATTCGGAGGCCTCTGTGACCGATCCGACAGCGAGCTGGAGGTCTTTGAGAGCCCTGTTCCCCTCATCCGGATCCACTGATCGGATACGAGCTTCCGTTATCGGGTCATCCTCAGCGGCAGGCCCTGAACATCAATCTGTTTCATTCACAATCACGGACTCGAAGCCTCAGCACATCCTTGAAGAGTGTGAAGTGGAAGGATCTTCCTGAAGTGAAATTTTTGCGATGGATGGCGGATGCCAACACATATGTCGAGAGTGGGACGGGTATGGCTGCCCAAGCAGGATGCAGCAACCCCAGATCCGCGCATATTGCGATAGGGATCCTCATCGATGGGAGCCTCGATAAAATTAGAACAATCATCTCTCCTATAGAAATTTCATTGTCTATCAGGCTAACTCCTCATGAATGAGAAGAATATGATCATCTCTCACGAATCTATGTATAAGACGTGAAGTGGGCGCATCGCTGAGAAAACTGCGGGATACAATGAGTACCCGTTCTCCCCAGGGAATGGCCGCATGCTGGCCGTGAAGCTCAGGATAGGGAATTCCGTGTCACTCATGGCGGGGCTTTTGATTCACGACGGATGACGTCCTGGTCCCCTCCACGCGAGGAATATTCGGCTGGATGGCCAGACTGTTCTTCGCTTGTTGATCGGCCAGCCAGTCCGTGAGTTTTAACAGAGGGAAGGTCTCGCTTCAAGGCGAAGCATTTTCCGTGCTTGGAAGTCAGGTCGCGTCGTCAGCTTCAGATGGAAACGCCTCATTTTACCTAGTTATCGAATAGTATCATGCGTTTATCCCTCTGTAGGTGTGAGCAATAGGACTCTTGGATGGAGAAAGCACCGAATTCCACTCGGAATTCATTGTTCGGAGGCGATACTTCAGTCACTTTCAGCTTTTCTGGGTTTCTCCCGTGCATGTCGATTTGCGCGACTACGCGCTTACTTATCCCGAAAGAGCGTCTTCATCGAAGCGCGCTTTAGACGATCAAGTTCTGTTTGTCTGCCGGCTCATACTCCGAAGCCGAAGACCAATGTCCTTCATGGCTTAGAACCGTCGAAGTCTTTTCCCGCTCATTCCTGAGTCGAAATTCCATGTCAATCTCCGATTCGGAAAGCCTCCCCGGAGCTGCGGCCGCTGTTACGAGGGCAGACCCAGGGAAGGAGGTTATCATATCTCCCTCCGAGATCGCGGGCACCGATGAACTTGATTCCGGCACTCGATACATCGCATCCGTGGGAGCGCTCGTGGCTTATTTAGTAAAGCATTGCGATCCGATCCCCATTCTGAACAATCGGAGAATTGAATTCGTCTTTGTGAATTCGTCGTTCACTGAAGATCGTTGCTGAAGGAACGAAATCTTGAGCGACGATTGTTCGTTATGAAACCATGCGCTAAGAAACTGACAGAAAAAGCTACAGAATCCGGGCTTGAGAATGAATCCCGATGAAATCTCTTCCTCGGATGCGCAACCGTGCGTAGAATTCTTTCCTATAAAATGTTCAGCGTGCGTTCTTCTCCGTAGTCGTGTCTCGTCACGATGTGGACGTACTCTCTGGTAGTGACGACGGCTGTGCTAGCAGTGCACTCTTCGGGACAAGGGAGTCCCAAAAAGTCGAGTTTCCTCTACTCCGGCGGACCTTACGGTGGACCTCTAGGCCCTCAACAGAACTATGACGGATTGTGGACATTCGTCGCTGTACCGATTCCTCTAGAAAATCAGACGGTACCGGCCGGAGACTTTCCACAGGAGCAGGTGGCTCAAGCAAAACTGTGGGGACCCATATACCGAGCTGGGCATGGATGGGTCTACGGAGATGCGGGTTTCATTCTGGTGCCGAGAATACCGCCGTATGTGCCTCCGACAATCATTCCACCACCCCGAGCTCCGCCTTCGCCACCTGCGAGTGGATCCGTCACGAGTATCGGTCAGCCTGATCAAGCCGTTCCGGTTCCTCCCCCGAGTCGCAACTCGATAGATCCATAGAAGCCGCCTCTCTCCGAGATCTGATTGAGCCAAAAATCTTCGACAAGGCTCTCCTCGTTGCGTGCTCGGACCTTTTTAATATTCTTGATCGCGCTTCGAACGTGTTGGCTGTTGGATTTTTGGTACCAAGGGAACTCAATAATTCGCTCCTCTGCAACTCGATGGCGAAATTGAGAGCGTGTTTTATGAAACTCCCTCGTCGGGTGAAAGGCTCGATTGCTCCGGAAGAATATTGTTCGAATCGGTGAGGGAATGGATATATTCAATAAAAATCCTTCGCACTGCCTTCGAGCTTTTTCGATCATGAGCTTAGGAGCGGCGCATAGCACTAGAAATAATCCCCATCTTCGGAGAGGTTCGATATACGGGAAGAAATCCAGAACCATGGGATCAACGTTTTTCACAGGCGAGATTCAGAATGAATGCATCTTAGCGGCTCAGACCTCACTCGTATCCTTCCACGTTCTAATCATCTTCTCGTCTTTTCCGGGAAGGCTTTAGATGGGGTCATCCTATGGGGTGTTTCATCGACTCCTGACTCACGAGGAGCTCATCCCTTCGTCTGTGAATGGGTACGATGGAGATGGCTGCGGCACCTGCATCCAATGATCTTGTAGACTATTCCTCAAGGCGAACTCACCAAATTCAGTCAAGGGAGCTCCGGAAAAATATGAATATGAAAAAATCATCCTCATTTAGAACTAAGAACGGCACATGGCAGCAAGAAAGATGTCCCATACACATGATCAACGAAGAGATGAGAGCTTACGAGATCCCTGCAGATCTCCGCGAAGATTTCCACATCGACAACAAAGAAAATTTCTGCGAGATCGGTCTCTGCAATGATGCTTTTGTTGGCACTTCATTTGAAAGCAACTCTTTGTCTCAATCTGAGGTAGACTGCTTGGAGCTGCGCTTGGTCTCTTCCCTGACGCGGGCTCCATACAGGCGAGTACTAAATGTACTAAAAATTGGCAGAAGGTACACCTCGAAATGCCTCACTTACACCGCAGCATCTTTCAACACGAAAGACCGTAGAATGAAGTTTGACCGGCGCGTCGTGTTCCGCTCGACCTCGCGCATACTGACGAGATTTCGATGCGATCAATGGCGGAGCTTTTCCTTCTCGATCGCCGAATACGCTGCTGTGATTCGAGTTTACGAAACATTTATCCCATGGCAATGCTGTCATGTGTAGCGACTGGGCCAATCACTCGCGTACGACAAAGAAGTGCATCAGTCAGTCCAGAATAAACCGACTGTGAGTTGTGATTGAACACTGTGCCCTAAGTCCGTACATTGGTGACCCGGACCTTAGACACGAGATCCCTCCAGTCATGAGCCCTGGTGATACGGATGAAGCAACTTCCAGCACGAGTTGACAATCACGCGTCCTGAACGTCCTCTCGTTCATTGAATGTTTTTCTCATACTGTGGGATTTTATCGATTCAGGACTCATAGCATTCATTCTCCAACCGCCGATGCGAGACTCGTTCGAAGCCTCCGACGTCTAATCGTAAGGTGCGGATCTATCGGCCGACTGGGGCTGACATCGATCCTATATCCCTAGCGGAAGATATTTTTTATCGAGCTCATATTACCAACACAAGCTAGACTTTACTGATTCCCAAATCCATTCAATGAAGAGACCAGAGAGCTGAGTTTGAAGATGGACACTGGGGATCGGACTGGTAGAGAGCCCGTCGGCGAGCCTGCATGTTTTCGCGGGGAAGTCCATCAGAAGGGGTGGGGTAATTTGAGTTTTGCGAATCGACATGGAGTCGGAAAAGGGTGCCTTTTGGTGGTTGAGCCGGCTGAAGTCGAGTTCCTACAGCCCTCAGATGAAACACTTCTACGTTCACAAGTTATGCAAGTGCATCGAGCGTCGCATTAATCGCTCCGAGTCAGAGCTTCAACGAATAGCGAGAACGGAAGTCGGGAGTACATGATACCTACATTCGCTGGAGGACGGCCCAGGCGACTGCGACGGTGTATATTCACCTGATCGAGGATCCGTCAAGGAATCTCGCTCACAAAAGGCACTAAAAGAAACGTCGAGATGATGCCACGCTCCACTCTTTGATCTTCCAGCTCTCAAGACTTTATCCAAGCTTTCTGGGAATTTGAGATCGAGACGCTAAGGACACATACGATTTGCCTCCGTCTGAATGTCAAGTCGAGAGAGTTTATTCCATAGAAGTTTGTGATGGAAACGTTGGGAGATGGCGATTGTAATCCTCCAATTCCTATTCTCAAAAATCCTCTCCCATCGATGCTCGCGAAGAGAATATCCGCTGAGTCCTCGCACACAGCATTCGAGCAACGGTCAGATCCGTCTTGCGAAAAGCGCGCTCCGAACTGCTGACGATCCGCAGAAAGATACTCTGCTTTCTATCCTAGCTGGGGTCCAGCGTGTAGCTCCCGACAATGAGCGGCAAGAAACCTTCATTAAGCCTGGGATGGAGCCGAAATTAGCGTCATGGCGTATAGTGAGTTAATGATCCGGGCGCGTTGGCAGCACAGAGGCGAGATAGGTACGCCATGGCCTCTGAGCTGAATGAGTTCCATCTACAGCACTAATCCAGGAGGAGTTGGCGATCAGGTGATTGGTCGCCCTCCTTGTAAGCTCAGACTAGCTGAATCTCTCGATGGAGAAA